AAGAAATAGCAATTAAAGTTATAATTTTTATTTTTTTAAAGCATGTAACTGCTTGATGTTTAAATCTAAAGAAAATATAACTAGAATTTTTTTTGCGAAGGGTGCGGGTTCAAGTCCCGTCTGCTACCTGGTCCGCGTGGATTTTTTTCTTGTTATATTTTCTTTAGATTTAAACATAAAGCAGTTAAATGCTTTAAAATAATAAAAATTATAACTAATATTTATTAATTTATTTATATTAAAATTATTAATTATTTAAATTTCGAATATAATTATGGATTGCAAAACACACAGCTCGGCCGCTGTTATTACTTCGACGTCTGCCATTGCCGAAACTCTGAAGCGAAGTGAGAGGTAGGGCAGTATGTAAACACATACTTCTCTCAATCATGTCGCAGCAATATTTAGGGAATTATTGGCGGCAGGGGCAGCGGCATGGGCATAGTCTAAACGAGGTATTACATGCAACGCGAGTAAGGAGGGAAGTGTGCAGGGAAGTGGGCATGACGAGTATGTAAACACGATACTCGTCATGCCACTGCCATTGCCACTCGCGCTGCCCGGCGCTCCCCAAAAGAGCGGTTTTTTGTGCGGAAGTCAAAGGACCGGCAGCGCGAGTGGCAATGCGTGTTCACACTCTGCGCGTCGCTTAGTTCGCACCACGCGCTTGGTGGAGAAAGACGTGGAATCAAAAATTATTAATTAATTAAATCATTACTATGGATCCTTGTTATCCGAAAATAAATGATTATTATTATATTATTACTAGCTGACTCGGCGAACTTCGTACCGCCCAAAAGTAATAATTTGCAATAAATTAAAATTGCGACTATAATTTGAGATTTAAACTATCCTATCTCTCAAGTTGGATCGAACTGCACATGGTGTGCGAATTTTATTATAATCGGTTCAGTGGTTTAGGAGTCCATTGAGGACGAACATTGTGACACGAGATTTATATATATTAAGATTATCATCATCATCATCATCAGCCTCTTTATGTCCCCACTGCTGGGGCACAGGCCTTCCCTATGGATGGAATAGGGAGATTGGGCCATGACCCACCACACGGGCCCAGTGCGGATTGGCGGGTTCTAACGATTGCAGATGCAACCGGTACCAACGGCTTAACGTGCCTTTCGAAGCACGGAGGAACTCGAGATAGAAATTTTTCGTCACCCATCCAATGACCGACCACTGCTAAAGTTGCTTAACTACAACGATCGCAGCCGAACGCGCTAACCACCTGTGCCATCGAGCTCGTCATTAATTAATTAAATATTTATTAATAATTAATATTTATTAATTTATTTATATTAAAGTTATTAATTATTTAACAGTAGTAATAAATTATTTTTAGTTTAATTTTTATTGCACTTTCTGTTTCCCGCTAAGTTGTGAATCTCCGACACCACCTAGGTTGGCTGGAAGAGATCTCTTTTAGAGATAAGCCCACCTTTGCTTACTATGTATTTTACTATATGTTTTAACTATATGATGCAATAAAGAGTATAATAATAATAATAAATTTCGAACATAATTATGGATTGCAAAAAGACACAGCGCGGCAGCTGTAATTACTCAGACGTCTGCCATTGCCGAAACTCTGAAGCGAAGTGAGAGGTAGGGCAGTATGTAAACACATACTTCTCTCAATCATTCCGCAGCAATATTTAGGGAATTATTGTCGGCATGGGCATAATCTAAACGAGGTATAAGGTATTAGGCTAGATTTAGATGTGTCGTGACGTCATATCCAAACGTTCAAAAATAGTGCGTCTTTAAACTGCATGTGCAAAGTGGCTATTTATATAACATTTTTTTAACAGAATTTTTTGACGAATTTTTTTTCTGAGTAGATTTTTATGCTGTATAAAAGAGATGTAAATTAATTTCTTGCTCGAAAAGATTTTTTTAACAAATATTGATGGATTTGGTAATATGTATTAATATTTGTTAAAAAAATCTTTTCGAGTAAGAAATTAAAAGTAATAGACATTTATTTTGGCAATCACTTTTATTTGAAATCTACTTTACCTATTAGCATGAAATTTGGTATAGAGGTTAAAAAGTCATGAAGGAAGGAGTTGTTCCGTATATATAGGAAGCTTGCGAGGAGCGGTTCTTATGCTTATTCTTAATAACTGTACCCCTAGCACGAACCAATATCGAATTCGAATAGTTTGCGAGTCATTGTCAAATTTTGTATGAAAACTTGAACAGCAGCGCCACAAAGTACGTAACGAGAACTAAAATTCAGTAAACATTTGACAAATACATTTCGGACTCGCAAACTATTCGAATTCGATATTGGTTCGTGCTAAGGGTACTGCTTTTGCTCTATGGTGTTATTTTTTTACCCGACTGCGCAATGCAAGAGCGCGAAGCGCGACGCGCAGACAGGGTATAGTGTTTATTTACCCGACTGCGCAATGCAAGAGCGCGAAGCGCGACGCGCAGACAGGGTATAGTGTTTAACAGTATATATCTGTATGTTTGTTCCTTTGTGGCACACAAGAGACCAAACGCCTGGACCGATTTTGATGATTCATACATCAATCGAATCGTCTCAATCATGCGAATGCTACTAAAGATATGATAGTAATCAAAATTCAATATGGGGAAAATTAGGCGCCATATTGTGACGAAGTAAAAAAAATAAGTTGACAAAATATGTCGAGTGGGGTATCACTGTCTAGATAATCGAAAATCATGTTTAGGTTTCTAACACCATTTTTCATTTTATATGATTGTTTAGGATCTAAACATTATCAACAGGATCAACTTAACAGTAATATAGCTCATATATGATAATAAGATATATATAATAATTTATGAAGTTATTGAGTCAATTGGCCAAAATATAACAATAAGTGTCACATAAGACGGAAAATATCTCCCATCTGCGAGCCATTTTGGCCTGCACTGCAAAAACAATAAAAGTTAAATGAATGTAATGTAGAGTGAAAATGTATCTCTTAAATAGGTCTACAATAAAGTCCGTGACACCATATTAATTGTGTAAGAATCAAAACTAAAATATTATTTGAAATCTATTTCCAAAATGCACATTTCGTATTAACAAATTATTTTTTAAAAAACAAATACTTTAGATATTTAAAGACGATAAACTTTGCCTTTTACACTATGTCGCTTCGACAAATATTTAAAAAGTTACAACGATGGCAAAGTGATAGCGCGGTGTATTTATTAATCAGCTCGCGATAATATTGGTTTTGTAATTATAAACGATAAATCTGCAAAATTCAAAGTAAATTATTTAGAGTTTTAATAAGTGAATCACCCTACGCCTATAAGTATTGCGATGTTGTAGCTAAGAACCAAGTTCCCATCTACTTCTATAGGGGAATTCATTATAACCGATTTAGTTATTAGGGCACGGAAGCGCAACAAATAAACTCACTTTCGCCTCTTTAATATTATATTATACTTACTAGTGATCCACCTCGGCATTGTACGGGCGAAATTTATTTTATCGGGATAAAATATAGCCTATGTCACTCGGACAAAATGTATTTAAATAAAGAAAAATGTAATAATAAATAATGTAACTACATTATGATGAATCAATATTTAAAACCGGTTCAGTAGTTTGACAGATTATTTGTTACAAACATAGAAATCTTGCCTCTTTATAATATTATTAAAGATAGTTAGGATAATAGTATTTAATTGATGAAAAAGATTTAAAAATAAAGTAAGTAATAGGTTTATTTGATTATTGTAAATGTTACTCAGCATTTGTGCTTATGATACGTTATTCGGTATTTTTTTTTATACGAAATAAATATTTGGAAAATAATTGCCATGATTGTACTATTTGCAATACCTACTAGGCTGGTAGCAGCACGCTTGATAGGTCGAAGTACTTTTCTTTCGAGCTTTACACTACCAATAAAAAAGGGTCGATCACAAGGTCTTTGACCTGTTATTGGTGAACGCTTTAAAAGAAAACTACAAAGAGAACTAACTCTGAATTGATAATAAATGAGATTGGTATGGTGCTCTATCTAACGTTATGAAAAATTTATTATGCACCTTTAGTTTAATATTATAAACTTTGCTTTGGTGATTGCATAATTATTTAATTTAGCGATCTAAGGCAGTTGCCACCATTGTCCAAAACAACAGACGGGAATTACTTTCTTCAGCTTGCGACATAAACGTCATTGATTGGTATTGTATATAGGGTGATTAACAACATTTGAAGTAAACTTCTGGCATCTATATATTGGGGTTCTGAGAATTATGTAGGTATATCAAATTATGAGACTAGGATATGACACTGCATTTGTGTATATCATAATCTTAGAGCCGGACGTTGACATGTCAATACAGCCACTACCAATTTTTAATAGTCGACGAATAAAAGTAAATGAATTTTATATTTACTGCTAAACTAATAAAAAGAACATAAACAAAAGATGACTTTTAGAATAAGTGCTAGTTTACTATAAAATTTACATACATTAGTTAAATAGGTAAAGACTTGATTTAACTTTACACATTTATGCGAAAATTAAGGCCCATCTGTGGCTTGACCTCGCTGGTAAAGTCTCTATATGTCTTAATAAATCAATCGTTTAGACCACCGCAAGGTACTTAATAATTCCCTCGATATTAAATCCCTTACTGAAGTAACAAGACTACGGTATATACCGTCTTATAATACTAACTAACTAAAAAGTGTGAAATAAATAAGGTAAATTAAAAAAATCAAAAATCCCGACTGCTTAATTATACTTCAAATAAAAACTGAAAAGAAAAAAACAAGTTCAGTAGTCTATAATTCTGTTAAAAAGGAACAAAGCTACTTTAACAGTCGGGACCCATTATTGAAAAATATTATGTATTCTTGAATATCTAATGGGTCCCGACTGTTAAAGAAGCTTTGTTCCTTATTAACAGAATTATATACTACTGAACTTGTTTTTTTCTTTTCCGTTTTTATTTGAAGTATAATTAAGCAGTCGGGTTTTTTGATTTTTTTAATTTACCTTTTTTTTGGTACTCAACAACCGTTACCAACTGTTACATAAGCTTAATATCTATAAACATTAACAAAAGATTTTAAAAACTACTTTAGGTTCAGAAAGTGGTGAAATTATCAAAGATTTAGGACAAATTTCTCAGTCTAAATAAATAATATATTAATTGGTAAGCATTGATTTGCTCGATTTATAAATCTTAAGAAATTTGAGGAATGATGAATATGCGCTTATGGTTTGTTGGTAACTTTAATATGCCATATTTGTTTCTTAGGTCATTAAATAACATAAATAACATAATAACATCAATAAATAAATAAATTCAGTACATGTAACCCGTAAAAACTAGTTTTATTTAATATGCTAATTGTAGTTTTCCTTCTATAAAATCATTATATTGAAAAATGCCCCGATTCTATTCTTCCAAGTTTTGTTTAGAATCCTGGGAATACCAGTTCTGTTAACAGTACAAGTGTGATAAAAAATCCTATTACTTGGGTCAATAGAACTGTCCAACGTAAGTGAGAATGAAGGGACATTTCGAATAATAAAATTAAGAAGCACAATAAAAACCAAAGTACCAAATTCACTTTCATAATTTATTTTAAAATTACCCAATTAATTAGACATTACTAAATCATAATTACAACATTTTAGACCTAAGCGAGATGAAATATAGCCCTATAAAATAAAAAAAAAAAACAAAAATTAGTATTCTTCGCCGCCTTCGCCCTCTCCTTCGCCGGAGTCCATGCCCACCTCCTCGTAATCTTTCTCGAGGGCCGCCAGGTCCTCGCGAGCTTCAGAGAACTCCCCTTCCTCCATTCCCTCGCCGACATACCAATGTACGAAAGCTCGCTTGGCGTACATCAGGTCGAATTTGTGGTTGAGGCGCGACCACGCTTCCGCTATGGCTGTCGTGTTTGACAGCATGCAAACAGCGCGCTGGACCTTCGCTAGATCGCCGCCGGGTACCACCGTCGGTGGCTGGTAGTTTATGCCCACTTTGAATCCAGTGGGGCACCAATCAACGAACTGGATTGTACGTTTCGTCTTGATCGTTCCGATCGCTGCGTTTACGTCTTTTGGCACCACGTCCCCTCGATAGAGCATGCAGCACGCCATGTACTTGCCATGCCGGGGGTCGCACTTCACCATTTGATTTGCGGGCTCGAAGCACGCGTTCGTGATCTCCGCCACGGACAGCTGCTCGTGGTACGCCTTCTCCGCAGATATCACCGGCGCGTACGTCACCAGCGGGAAGTGGATGCGAGGGTACGGCACCAAGTTTGTCTGAAACTCGGTCAAATCCACGTTCAGTGCTCCGTCGAATCTCAACGATGCCGTGATCGACGACACGATTTGCCCGATCAACCTGTTCAGGTTTGTGTATGTCGGTCTCTCGATGTCCAAATTTCTTCTGCAAATATCGTAGATGGCCTCGTTGTCCACCATGAACGCGGCGTCGGAGTGTTCCAGCGTCGTATGTGTCGTTAGAATCGAGTTGTACGGTTCCACGACGGCCGTGGAGATCTGGGGAGCCGGGTAGATCGCGAATTCCAGCTTCGATTTCTTGCCGTAGTCGACCGAGAGGCGTTCCATGAGAAGGGAGGCGAAGCCGGAGCCGGTGCCGCCGCCGAACGAGTGGAAGATAAGGAAGCCCTGCAGGCCGGTGCACTGGTCGGCCAGCTTGCGCACGCGGTCGAGAACCAGGTCCACGATCTCCTTGCCGATGGTGTAATGTCCGCGCGCGTAGTTGTTGGCCGCATCCTCTTTGCCCGTGATCAGCTGCTCGGGGTGGAACAACTGTCGGTACGTGCCCGTCCGCACCTCGTCCACTACTGTTGGCTCCAGGTCTATGAACACGGCCCTCGGGACGTGCTTTCCCGCTCCCGTCTCGCTGAAGAACGTGTTGAAGGAGTCGTCGCCGCCGCCCACGGTCTTGTCGGAGGGCATTTGCCCGTCGGGCTGGATCCCGTGCTCCAGGCAGTACAGCTCCCAGCACGCATTACCGATCTGTACGCCGGCCTGCCCTCCATGTATAGATATGCACTCGCGCATTTTTAAATTACTTATAAATAAATAATCCTTACTTTTATCAAACTGATCCCGACAGAACGGCACCAAACTTCAAACTGTGCACGCGAAACAAAAGCTCTCAGAATTATGGTAACTTCATTTTTGAATTTTGACAGGTGTATTAGGTATTCTTTGTAGTTTCCAAAAAGGTTGAATAAATAGGAAAAGTACAAAAGAAAGGGTTACTACACACTATAATATTTGTCATCGGGTGAGGATTGGGTGGCACATGGGTGACACAGAAATGGCACCAACAGTTCTCATCACGAACTGCAAATAACAAACTTTTAATTAGGTGGCATTCCCTTTGACTAGAATATGGATGCTTGCGCTAATGAGAGCAGGCCCCGTAACTAAACCCAATGCGTTGTTACCCATGAGTTGTATTATTATTTTAGTTTATTTTAAATTATAGAAAAGTTTCGATTTTATTTTTGTATATTTTGGAATGGTCGGTATAGGCTCTTGAGCTAAGCTATGGACGGACAGAAATGAACTATAAAGCTTCCAAAAAAGGGTTTTACAACAACGCATATATTCTAAAACATCATACGCCCTCAAGATTTCGACACAGCCAATAAATATTTCGGCAAAATAAGGTGGTTCGTATCCCGTCTGATGCCGACTGGGTGGAATTGTTCTAGAATTTATTATTCATTAGATTTATAAAAATATAATACCAAAATATTTACAAAACGTGCACCTTTATAAGAAATACGGGGTCTGTTTGTGGCTTTGATCAATTGTTGTTGAACAAAGCCAAGATCCCAACTCCACTGTCGACACCTCTTCAACAATAGAAACATTTCAAAAATATTTTTTTTTTCGAGATCAAGTATTGGGAAACAATTATTCCGAAACTGCAAAAGGTTTTTAAGGTGCTTCTCCCCTAGGCGACGTGACTCGCTCTGCTTCGGCGTAGACTAAAGTTTTGTTCTCGAGATTTTACTATATATAGGTATATTTTACTATATATAGAACTTCCGTAAAATCTAATTGATGGTAAAAACCCCATGAAAATCCAATCCAGTAGTTTTAAGGATCATGATGCGCGGTGGAGGGAGCCAGAGCGAACTGTGAGTAAGCACCAACATGTTGGCTCATAGGTTAAACAAATAAGTTTATAAAAAATACCTAACCCTTTTCAGGGCCTATTGCACACTTATATACGGTCACATGCACTCGCCGCTCTTAAGCGCACAGCGAGACCAATTTAACAATGAAATAACACTGCTACATCGAATGTTTGCAGAAACGCTGGTAGACTGCTTCTATGAGACAACTGGAAGCGTTGCACCAGTCTAGTGCACGGGGTGAGGGGCCCCATAGCATCCTAAGCATGTCTGCAACTAGGTAAATACTGTAAAGACAGTCAAACCCACTTGCAGAGATGCTTAGGGTGCTATGGGGCTACTACTCACTCTGCACACTAGGGTGGCGCGTCGCTTCCAAATAAGTCACAAAGACGCAGTAAACTGGCTATTATGTATGCCAGTAATGCGCACCAGGTTGACTTCTACACTTGTAGTCAGTATATATGACAGATTAGCACATTACATTCATATCGGAAGCTCAGAATTTTTTCATTTAAAGTATTTGCATTATCTGTGTTTACCAAGGCTTCCGATGAAGCGATGAAAATTAGGTTATGTTCTCCATGAAGTCCAACGTACGCCTTAAAAAAGTTAACTTTGTGCTTTTTATCGTGTAATAAGAAGTAATATAAAAAAGTTGTCAATAGAACAGCTTGAGACTCATTATACTAATGTAAACATCAAGCAAAAAGACGGCACTAAAATCCGTCTTACTAAAAAACATTATAAACAATAAAAAAAAAATTTTTTTTTAAATCATTTTTTTGCCAAGACTATGGTATATAATGGTACTAAGATATATAATGGTAAAAAAAAATGTTCAAATATTAAACTTGTCTATTTGCTTACAAACAATTTCTGAACAAACGATGTAAAAAAAATTTTTCTAATGTTACTTAATGCCATTGTTGGATACAAAAACAGCAATAATATAAGATCTGTTTGAAAAATTTTTTTAGTAACATAATTTAGACTTTCCATTCTTTGTTAACTTTAAAAAATTATTATAAACAAAACAATTTTAATAAACTTTTATCGCGTGATCTTGGTAAGTATATACATAATAAGAGCTCCACAGAGCCAAAAATTTATAGGTTTATTATTTAAACTTTTATGTTGTCGTTTATTAAAACAGAGATTGGGAAAAAATTAGCTAATTAACAATTGCATAACTTTTTGAAAAATTAATTTATAAAAATCTAACGGGCATATATTTTTTCAAGTATCTAGATGATACCGTAAATATTTAAATTTTTAAATATTATTTAAAAATTTTAATATTTATTGGGCGAAGCCCTATTTTCAGCGTTAAATTAAAATTATTAATAATAGAGGTAGAGTTCCGGGAACTGCAACTTTTTTTTCGAAAATTTCCTTCTCTTATAGGATCTTTTTTCCAAATATCGTAAATATTAATAGTTTATGAGTTATTAACAAAAAACTAAATACCTGTTTTTTATCTTATTTTGTTAATAACCTCCTTTTTCTAGAAGTCATTCCGAATCCAATGAGCTATTGCTCATATTTTTAGGAGCTTTATCTCTATTTTTCACTTTTTCAATTTGTTGACTGGACTATTAAAGTAAATAAGTCAATGTTTGCGAGAACGTTAATGAAGTGTACACATCGAAGCACGAATATGACCGGGTTTACCCAGCGGAGTTCGAAATAATACCACCCAACAGTTTAGTAACGCTATGTTTGAAAAGCAATACAGCTGCGATGCTAGTGTGTACACTCCCTAAGCTGCACTTTACAATCATATTGGCACGGGAAGCTCGTTGCCTCGTTGGTAAAGAGGTTTATTGATACTAAATAGGCTCTCCGGAATGTTTCAAAAGGAACCGGTTAATGAGTCAGTTATGAACTGAAAAATAATATCATCTTTATCGTACACAGTCTTTTATATCTAGCTTATTATGCATAATGTTTAAAATTCTTCTAACACCTCTGTTAGAGGTCAAAAGTTTGACAATGGTTGGAAGAATTTCAAACATTCTGCATATTAGTTTAGGGTAAGGGCGGGGAAGAAAATGAGTAGAGGACGGATGAAAGAAAAAAGGAGTAAAGCTGGAAGGAAGCAAGAGCATCAAAGAAGAAAAGGGAGAAGACAGAAATAAGATAGGGGCTATCTTATCACAAAATGCGTGTTTATAAGCCAATTAATGGGCTGGAAGGACCGCCAATTGCGACCCACTGAATTGAATCGCAATTAGGTAGGGTGTTGGTTAGGTTTTAATTTCTAGGTTCGGTACTTTCATTCTGATGTCATAGTTTTATGTAATGGGCTAATTTATTCATCTAGACATTAATTAAAAATTTTAAGAGTTGCAGTAACTATGCGTCAAGTTGGGTGTAGGCTTAACTATCAACTTTTGTCTCTTAATGGTAACCACGGACCTGAAAAAAAGAAACTTGACGGTACGATTATCAGTTTTGTTTACATGGTTTTTTAATAATTTAATACATTTTGTAGTAACCGACGAAAATAATATTATTTTTTTACATTAAACAAATTTTTGTGCACTTCAACGTTTTTGAATCAGCGCTGACGTATCCAGTTTATGAAAACAAATGTTGAAGACGGTGATACTGCAAAGTCGCAGGTTTGTAATATATTTTACAGTGCTCAAACTTCTAGCGGAATTAGGAAATTACAAAGCCGCGTCTATTACATATTATATTTATATAAAAGTTGTACACATTTTGTTATAACTATTATGCCTTAGTCATCAGGAATCATGAGATATTCTATGCCATTGTTCTATTCTATATCTTTGTGTAGACTGGCTCACTGAGCAAGTACTTATTTAAAAACCTTTACTCTCTTTGTCCGAAACGAAATTTTGGTATCGAACGAACTTTAAATGACATTTCGCCAGTGACTCTACTATAATTAATTTTCAAGTTCGAAATCATAAACAATTTTTGTGAACGAATGGAATGAGTCATGTTTGTGAGTTCTGTATATCTCCACATTTTATATTACGTTCTTTACTTGGAAACAATATTACTTTACGACAAAATGTTTGATGACATTGACAGAACCTTCTTTTACTGTGTTAGCCGACAAAAGCGGGCTACTGACATCCCTGACGCAGGGCCAATCTAGGGCGCACGGCAGTCGGGCCAATATCGGCTTGTTTCTACACACATGTCTGCTATTCAGTGTTCGGGTACAAGTTAAGCTAATCATACGCTTTGACTATGTCCCCTATATTATCAAAAAATCAACAAATCGGTAGGTAAGGTCTTTGCACTGTCTATGGTGTTTGAGCAAAAAAGGAAATACTGGGTGAAGAATTGGCAACAAAAAGAAATGAATTATAAATAAAAAAAGGTTTGTGTATTTTATCCCACATGTGGGGCCGGTCTTTATATACTTCTATCACTAGAGACCAAACTTCATGCTCATTATGATCTGCCGTGAACTTAATACGTGCGCTCCGCGTGACAGTTACCAACCAACTGTTTGAGGAATTGCCTAGATTGCGCTGCACATGCGGTAACGTGCAGGGCAGCAGGGACAATCTAGAAACCAAGGGTGGTCTCACGCCCTTGCCGCCCTGCTGCAGGGCCAATTAAGAAAATTGACCCTGCATTCTTACACCCTAGATTGCCCCTGCGGCAGGGATGTCAGTAGTCCGCTTAATTTGTAGAGTTGATACAATCGATTATATGTCAACCTAGTGTTGCCGAACTATCGATGTTAAAACTATCCACAGTTTACATCGAAAATCATGTAGCCTATCGATAGGTCAATCGATAGAATCGATAAAACCGATAGTATCGATACTATCGATAGCTCAGAACAAGGCAATACTATCGAATGAGTGCAATACTATCGATACTATTGTAGATTGAAAGTATCGACAGTGTTGATTTTATCTGCAACAATACAATCGATATTATCGATACTAGCGATTGTTTTAGACTAAAGTTTGTGATTGACTATAATACCTGAAAATTGTAAACAATACTATTGCAAATTGTTAAACTATCGATAGTATGGTTGCAAATAAAATCGACAGTA